CAGTGCACAACGGAGAGCGCGGGGAATCATCGGCAGACCAGGCCCAGCCGGCCTGCTGCAGGAACCTCGGGGGTGGGGGTGGGAAGGGAGCTGTCCCTGTCTTAGCTTCGGCACATTCCGTCCAGGAGGAGCCGGTTCAGCTCCTCGGGGGTTGAGCTGGCCCTGTAAGAAGTGCGTGGTGACCAGTGTGAGTCAGACTCCCGCTCAGCTTAGGCGGCGGATGGTTAGTGCTGATAATCTCTCGGAATGCTTCTTGGCATGAGTGGATTTGCACAGGCTTCCTGGTTCCATCACAGCTGTTCTTGGAATGGGGGGGAGCAGAGCATCCACAAGCAACTTCTTGGGGCCCGCAGACCTGGCTGACTCCGCCTCTCCGCGGTGTCATACGCCGTCCTAGGTCGAGCTGGTCCATGAGACGGGGACCTACCTCGCCCCGCACCGCACCTGGCGGACCTGGAGCCGGAAGGTGCACCTCACACGGATCCATGAGCTCTCTGCTGTCCTTGGTGATGCCCCCGTGGGATCGGGGTGGGTCCTGGGGTCGCGGGGCGCTCTGTCCATCCGCAAGTGCCCTACGCCACATCCGGGACCCGGCAGCAAGGCATGGTTAGTGGGTCCCCAGGGATGATGCAGGGGCTCCGCCTCATGAAGGTTTTTTTTTTTTTTAATTATATTTTATTTATTTATTTATTTTTTTAACTTGACTAGAGAGAGATAGATGGAGGTGGGGTGAGGGGGAGAAAGCAAGCTACCGGGTCTAGGACCTGAACCATGGCCAGCCGTATGGGAGTGCAGTGCCTCAGCCCCCATGCCACCCACCAGCCTCATATCCTGGACTCCTCTGCCACGTCTTGGGGTGGTCTCAAAGAACCAGAGGAATCCCTTCTCCCATGGTAGCTGCTACTGAAAAAACTGGAGCAGGCAGGATTTAGCAGCTCAACGGGGTCCTTAGGTGCCAAGGCAGAGATCGAAGGGGCCCCTCTCTTAGGGACCTTCCCCCTAGACACCTCACACCTTCGGCCGCTCTCTGCTGTTCACCACTCGTCACGCATGCAGGGTGGGGTCGTGTGCTTGGGCAGCAGACCTGAGGGTGGGGGAGCCTTTTGGCTGAGGCTAAATTACAGATCCGACCTGGACCCTGGACCCTGGCATATCAGTCGGATTTGTCATGCCTGCTTGTCACCAGCTGGGAGATGGCCTCCCGGGGCCTAGCTGGTAGGTGAAAGCCCACTCATGCCTTGCAAGCTGCCCAGGCTGCCAGTCCCCAACGGCTCCCCGCCTCCCTCTCTGGACTGTCCTAGTGCATCGACCTTGTCAAAGACTTGAACCAGATGAGGTCCGATGTCTGGAGAGAGGGGTGAGGAAACTGCCGGTCTGCCTGCTGGTTTAACTCAGGATTTCGTGATCATCCTCAGCGATTTTAGCGGGCCAACCCTCTCCTACGACAGCAAAAGCAGAGTGCCTTGGATTCAGACGCGTTCCGCGTTCCGCGTTCCGCGTTCGTTTAGTGACATACAGCCACAAACCGGCCCACCCCTTCCCTTCCCTTTGAAGCGGCCCCTGCTGGATGCTCAGTAAAATGAAAAAGGCATCGCTGAGGGAGGAGTGGGGGTTGGCACAAAGAACTGGGGATCCACCCAGAGGTGGAGAGTCCCCTTCCCAGGACGCTCCCCTGTTCTGTTATATATGGCTGTGCTGAGCACACTCGGGCTGTCTGATTTCTCAAGCCAACATTTATCTTTGATGTTGCCTGGGGTCGGCCGGTGCTGGAACAACGTCTAAATATAGACGCCCAGCAGACTAAATCACAGAGCCTGGCGGAGTGAAGTTGGCCAAAGCAGCTCTACTTTTTCATGTGATTCATCACTGCTGTCTCTGACAGGGTGGACTGCCGTTTCACATGCCCAGCCCGGAATCACTCAGCCCGTGTCTGGACCTAGCAGCCGTGGGCTACAAGCACATGGCAGCTGGTGACCGAATTCCTGTAACGTACCAGCAGGCAGTTGTCAGGCCTGGTAAGAGGCGCTCAGGAAGCCAAATGCATAGCTGCAATGAACCCGTAAGAGAAGGAGGCTGTGGGACCAGCAGATGGCGTAACAGTTACGTCGCTGGACTCCCACGTAGTCGACTGCAGTTCGAGTCCTGGACTCAGTGGCTTAAAACTCACACCAGGAGCATGAGCGTACATACCCTAAATCCCGAGAGGAGAAGGGCGAGAAGGAATTGCTGTGTGGCCACCTCCCAGGGTCTCTATATCTCTGTGTCTCTCTCTGTCTCTTCAGTGAGCACACACACCCTGTAGCAAAAATAACTCTTTAAAAAAGAGAGAAAGGAAGAGAGAGGTGGCCATAGGAAGAGGCCACGGATCGAGAAAACACCGGGGGAAGTCAGTCACGTGACCGAAGGCAGCCAGTTACCATGGTTTCTGCAGCTCTGTGTTGGACATTTTCATTTTTGTGGCAGGAGTGAAGCTGTGATGTGGGGAACAGGAAGGATTGTTTCCAGTCGATTAATTTATAGGCAGATGAAAACACCAGCCAATGCCTCTATTACCGCCTGCTGTGTTGGAAATGCCCACCCAGTGTTGTTAGTGCCAGGGTCATTGGAACTGTTCGCCAGAGCACCCACGAACCCCGCAGCCTGCACAGCTCTTCCGGCAGGAAAGCACTGTCGTCTGAATTCATTGGGATGGGTGTGAATTACATGTATGATCGCTACGAGGGTGGCACGGTCCTTAGCGAGAAACCAGCCCGCCCAGAGGATTCGCCTTTCCAAGAACCGAGGGTAGCTTTCTGGGGACACTTAGTAAAGAAGGAAAAAAACTGATTTGAAAAAGTATTTTGTTGCTGTTTTCAGTTACATACTTTGTCCAAATTTACACAGACAATAATGTTGCTTTTAAACATACTTTGAGCTTTAATAATTAGTTGTATTTTTATGAAGCGAATCAAATACTTTTTATATTCTTAGCTACCAAGTTTCAGACAGGCAGATCCATCTGCAAATAGGCTTTTCCATGGGGACTCTTTCCATTACGTTTTTTTGTTTTTTGTTTTTTGGAGAGGTTTTTGCTATAGGGCACATGCACTCGCCAGAAAGACAGAGAGAGAGAGATAAAAAGCGAGAAATCACCCCCCAGGGGGGATGGCACGCCGCAATCCCTTCTCCTCCATTCTCCTCTCGGGATCTTGGGCATGCACACACACGCGCCCGGCGTGAGTTTAAGCCGCTGGGTCCAGGACTCAAACCGCGGTCGACTACGTGGGAGTCCAGCGACATAGCCATTACGCTAACTGCTGGTCCCCATTACGTGTATTTCTGAGCAGATACTCGGAGAGAGACAGAAAGCTGCTATCTTGGTGATGGTTCCACGTGGAGGTCCTTTGAAAGGTGATCTCGTCCCTCCTGCAGTTCTGGGTTATGCCATACCTACACCACCCCCACCTTGTACTTAAACATCTCCCTGTTACTCTCTAAACTTAGGATGATATTATTCAAAGAACTTTATTTTGGTCTAAGACGTAGGTCTGAGGTGACTGCACTGTCATTGCTTGGCCATTTGGTTGACCTTTATCATCTGAAAGTCTGGTGGCATTAGAACTTCAGTGAGAAGTCAGTTCAGAGAGCCCCTTACTCCCCTGGATGCTTTGAGGGCAAGGCACGTACTGAGTCCGTGTAGAAAATACAGCCTTATTCAGGCGTGCATTAAACATTCGTTCACGTGTGACACGTTCTACACCTCACCTGCCGGCTGCTTATAAGGCAGGAGGTGTCTGTGAGTTTACTGAAATTCACAGGAGTAAACCTTCATGCTTTACACATACATGGGCATCAAATCGATGAGTGTAATACTGTGAAACAAGTGATTTAAACTTAGTGGGATTGGGAATGGCTTGCTGTGCCCAATACGGCCTGCGGTTC